ATCAGCGCTAAATCTACAGTGAGGGGGAAAAGTATTTGATCCCCTGCTGATTTTGAACATTTGCCCACTGACAAAGAAATGCTCAGTCTATAATTTTAATGGTATGTGTCTTTTAACAGTGAGAGACAGAATAACAAAAAAAATCCCCAAAAAAGCATGTAAAAAAAAAGTTAGAAATTGATTTGCATGTCAATGAGTGAAATAAGTATTTGATCCCTTCGACTTAGTACTTGGTGGCAAAACCCTTGTTTGCAATCAGAGAGGTCAGATGTTTCTTGTAGTTGGCCACAAGGTTTGCACACATCTCAAGAGGGATTTTGTCCCACTCCTCTTTGCAGATCCAGAAGCTCTGCTTTGAGCTTCCATGAGTTGTCCTGAGTTTAGCCATGTCGTGCTGTTGAGAACAACTGATTGCACTTAGACAATGAGTTAAGTCCTGCACATACCAGCTTAGCTTAGCTCAGCAAGATAGCTTCTGGGTGCATAGAGGCCAGTGGCAGAACATAGCAGGCACCAGGTTACAAATCAAACAGATCTTACTACTTATGTTGGGGCAGCACCATGTCACTATTGGCACAGGCTCTTGTCCCTGGCTCTCTGCAGCCATAAGCTCTCTGCCTGAACTAAGCCTGGTATAGGGTTTAGCTCATTTGCTTAGTTTAGGATTAATGACAGGGAGCTAACGGAAGCTCATGGAAGGAGCTTGTGGCTCTTGATTGTGGAAGTGGAAGTCTAAAATGTCAGGTTGCTGATGGTATTATAATGACTACAACATGCTGTAGTGGTTGTGGTGCTTGAAGTGATCCTTTAACAGAGCAGGATTTGCAAAGTAATCACAGCGAATGTGGTTGCTATGCATGGGGAGCAGAAGGACCACCTGTGGGAGGTCTCTTCTGGTCTTCCTTGTTAGTCAAGGTATTTGAATGACAGGTCCGAGAAAGTTCTATTTTTAAAAACGTTTTTCTCACAAGCCATTTGCTAGCAATTCTGCCAGCACAATGTATACATAAAAGTTTATGCTCTTTCAAGGAGAATAAGAATCAGGTACCATGACAGGTACCCTTTAATGTACGAGCAATAAAGTTGGATGGTGAGTTTGGCAGCAGCACCTTACAATATTAATAGTCAAGAAATAGGAAATGACTAGAAAAAAAAAAACAGTAGTAGTGGTCAAAATAGGAAATAGGAATTTGTGTAATTATGAAACAATGAAACCAGCAGATGATAAGTTGTCAGCAACCATTTGCTGAAAATAGTGGCATGACGAGCTCTTTAGCCAATAAGATCAGTCGCCTGCCCTTCAATGAGTACCATAACATTGGCAGGACGAAGAGGGAGAACTATATGCTAATACTAATCTACTAGGGATTTTATTGTGACAGTAATCTCAATGTAGTCTGGATGCAGTGGCCTCTTCCTTTTAACACTATTTTTTGGGAGCTGCAATGTTTACATCATCTCTTCCTGACAGCTATAGCCTGACAGAGGCACTTCTGCTGCACTGACAAAGTGAAACTCAATCACATCATACAGAAACCCATAGGAAAGCATTGAATTCAATGCATTGCTAAGGGGAAGCTTGGATTCGTGCAGCTCTTAAATCCCCAGTGCTCCTCTATAACGCCATAGTGTTCCTTTAATATGCATATGCTCTTTCAATCCAGACACACCCTCAATTTTATACACATGCTCCATGGATAATAGACTAAATATGGAATATTAGTGAATTGAAAACCAATTTGCAAAATTTTGGCAAAACAAATATTTGATTTTGAACTGTCAATCTCTAGCTCTCTCTAGCTTTAACTTTACTTCTTACAACTCCTGTCACCCTCACTCAGAATTTAGATGCCTGAGAATGATGTGAGCTATGGTGTAGCAACCGCAGGAGGTATTCAGATTATAAGTAGGCATGTCGTATGAGAGTCTGTATGTGTCCATGCATGTTTGAGAGTCATCTGGTGGAATGTGGATGTATGCATATAGAATAAATATACCTTCCAACTACCCTAGATAAGTGGGAAGGTCGCTGTGCATTATCCAGGTTTGTTTCCTGTCAGCACTGCATGAGGGCATGAATAGATGTGCTAACTCCAAGTAGAGTAAGCTCAGGACATTAAACCCATGGCAGTGCACTTCAAGAGCACTCTGCACATTGACAGCTTGGAGTGGGGCCTGCCAGAGCCTCTCACTCAGCCTAGGCCTGCATGCCCTTTTACGGAGACCCTTTACTCCTCGCCACCCACACCTCCTTCCCATTTTTAGGAGTTATGAATAAGTAATATAAAATATATATATATATATATATATATATATATATATATAGATATATATATATGGAATGTCGAGTATTTTAAAATGACTATATGCATTTGCATCTATTTATTCAGCTATGATTTTAATGATGGGCATATATACAAGCATTAGAAGTATTTATCAGGTGTAAGACAGTAAATATTAGATATTAAAGGACCACTCCAGGCACCCAGACCACTTCAGCTTAATGAAGTGGTCTGGGTGCCAGGTCCTTCTAGGGTTAACCCATTTTTTTTATAAACATAGCAGTTTCAGAGAAACTGCTATGTTTATGAATGGGTTAAGCCTTCCCCTATCCTCTAGTGGCTGTCTCATTGACAGCCACTAGGCGCTATGCTTCTCACTGTGATTTTCACAGTGAGAGCACGCAGCGTCCATAGGAAAGCATTGTAAATGCTTTCCTATGCGACGGGCTGAATGCGCGCGCAGCTCTTGCCGCGCGTGCGCATTCAGTCCAGGAGGAGGAGGAGGAGAGGAGGAGGAGAGCTCTCCGCCCAGCGCTGGAAAAAGGTAAGTTTTTACCCCTTTCCCCCTTCCAGAGCCGGGCGGGAGGGGGTCCCTGAGGGTGGGGGCACCCTCAGGGCACTATAGTGCCAGGAAAACGAGTATGTTTTCCTGGCACTATAGTGGTCCTTTAATACAGTAAGTATTAGAGAAGTCAGTGATTACACTAAGACAATGTTTTTTAAAAGTAAGAATCATAATCGAGCACCTATTAAAAAGGATCACGTAGGTGTTTGGAAAATAAGTGAAAGAGGTTTTCGTTAGCTCCACTAAGTTAAAGGAACACTATATAGTGTCAGGAATTTAAATGTGTAGGCGCTATGTCCCATGTCAGCAAGGTAAAAGGTAAGTTATCCTACTTTTTTCCAGCGCCACGCGGATCTCCTCATGACTGTCTCTGCCCCCGTTCCACCACCTTGGTTTATATCATCAATCGCCAAGCTGAGCCAATCAGCATCCAATTTAGCTCCTCCATTCAGAGCATGGAGATGCTGAACATCAGTGCTGCATTCTGTGGAAGCACCTCTGAAAATGCAGTGTTTACATAAAAAATCCAGCAGGGACAGGCTATAGAGACCAGAACAACTACATTAAGCTGTAGTTGTTCTGGTGACAATTGTGTCCCTTTAAGACTTAATGTGCAGTGCTAGCTCATTGGCTGAAAGTACTAAGCTGACGCTCTCAGCCATTGAGAGCTTCTCTTCGTTGACAGGCTCAGTTTAGTGCAGAACTTTCTGGGTGCATAGGAGGCAGCAGGTAAGCTGTCAAACTATTCTCAGTTTGGATACTTAAGCGGCACTGTCATGGCCGAATCCTGTTTTTTTTAACCCCCCTCCCGACTCCACTACATCTAATTGACCCTTTAGTCACCCCCACATGTCCCCCATATTACCTATTTTTAATCTTTCTTTTCTGCCCCGATCTATATTCAGGGAGTCGCCATCTTTATGTGGGTAGATAAAGTCCCTGTGGGACACATCATCTGCCCACACTAGATAGCGCTGTGAGATTCCCACACATGCCCAATGAAACACTTGGGCATGCGAACGGGAATTTCATCTATTCATTCATTTGTCAGAAAGACGAATTAATGAATAGCATTGTGAGACGAACAAACAAACACTGAATATCAGTGTTAGTTTGTTCGTTCAGTTTATTACAAGGAGGGAGCTACCCGCATGCACTTCCCTCCTTGTAATATGTAAAGATAGAAGCGGCAGGGAGCAGTGCTCCCCGCCACTTCCTAAGCCCCCGCCCCCATGTCCTCCCTCACCCTATGGGGGTCAATATGACCACCATAATAGCATACGGGAGATTAAAATCTCCCGAATGCCCTTACTCACTATACCGCGAGTAGGGGCATGTCTACTAAACAGTGAGCAGCCTGTGGCTCCTCACTGTTTAAAAAAAAACCTTACTATTTGGCCCCAACCCCTGGGCAGTGGACGGCCATAAAGATAATGAGGGGGGGACCTACTGTCCTCCCCGGCCCCCACCCCTGGACGGCGTGTGGGGGCCCTAAGACAAATTCCCCCCCTTCATCAAAGGTGACTAGGGGTCCCCAAGCCCCTAGTAACCCACCCTGCCACCCAAATAAAAAGTTACCCCCTACCTACCAAACTCACCCTAAAAAATAGTGAGGGGGGAATAAAATAACTAACCTGTAAAGAAAAATTTAACTTACCATTTGACGTCTTCTTTTTTATAAAAAAAAAAAAATCAGCCCCAAAAAAGGCTAAATAAACCAAATAACCATCATAACAGTCAAACTTAAAATAAAATTAAAAAACCTGAGCGCAAAAAAAAAAACAGACGAAAAAGAAAAAACCTGAGCGCAAAAAAAATAATCCTTCTTCACCCATGGAGGGCTTCGCGCAGACTGAGCTCTGCAGGGCCGGGGAAGGCTTAGAAAGCCTTGCCCTGCCCTCCAATTAGGCTAAGAACACTCTGATTGGTTGGTTTAAGCCAATCAGAGTGCTCTTTGTCATTTTACACAGCGTGGGAAAATTCCAAAGAACTGTCCCACGCTGTGTAAAATGACACAGAGCACTGTGATTGGTTAGATTCCAAGCCCACCAATCAGAGTACTCTTTGTCATTTTACACAGCGTGAGAAAATTCCAAAGAACTTTCCCACGCTGTGTAAAATGACACAGAGCACTGTGATTGGATGGATTTCAAGCCACCCAATCACAGTGCTCTGTGTCATTTTACAGTTCTTTGAAATTTTCCCACGCTCTGTAAAATGACAAAGATCACTCAGATTGGCTTAAACCATCTAATCAGAGTGTTCTTAGCCTAATTGCAGGGTGGGGCAAGGCAATTGTAATTTATGGCCCCCACCCACCGCCACAGGCTGCTCACTGTTTACTAGACATGCCCCTACTCACGGTATATAGGAGTAGGGGCTGAATTTACTAAAACTAAGTAATCTTTACTTAGTATTAGTAAATTTGGCTGAAAGATCAATTTAGATACCGTGGGAATTAGGGAGTTATCTACTAAGCGGCTGCAAGATGCAGCCGCAGCAGTGAATAGGATCGGAGTTTCATTCATTGAATGAAATTCCGATACGGACAAAGTGCCGAACTGCGTTCTAACACGAATGGAGAAATTGTTAGAACGCAATTCGGCAGTTTTGCCGGCGTCCTGTCTAAGTGACAGGAAGCATCGTGGGAACAGGGAGGAAAGCTAAGGATTATGGGACAATTGCTGTGACAACAAGAAACGAAGCACACTTGGCTGGTCACGGCATAGGAAACCTCCATAAGAAAAATAGTCCCTACTTTTTCTTAAGTTTTAAAGAAAACTAGAGCAGATAGGAAGAAATGAAGAACAGATCCCGAGAGAGGGAGAGAAGAGGAATCGATTGGGGAAAGGTAAGTTCGGCATGGCAGTGCCTCTTTATTTAGTGTGGGTGGCAAAGCACTCTTGGCACCATAGCTATTAAAGTGGATTGTAGTTGTTATGATGCTTGGATTGTTCCTGTTATCTTACATTCTTATTCCTCTTTTGCTTAATATAGATAGATAGATAGAATGTGCTACTCTAAACATGTGTGTGTGCTAGTCCTGCTGGGGTTACTGTAACATGTTCTTAAATCTGTTAGTGTGCTTTCGGATCTGCCAATGTCACCATGTCCTGATATGAACAGAGCAGGGTGACAGGTCACTGTTGTGTAATGCCAATTAGAGTTAGATACAAATATGAAATAGGCTGCAGCTGCTACATGAACAATTTTTTTCCCCTCACAACTTGTGATATTCATTTGAAATTTGACTGATACAAACAACATAGTTGTATAGTATACAAATATGTTATTAATAGTACATAGATATAAACCCTAGATTATACCTCCAGACATTTAAAGGCATGAGGTTCAGATGGGGGTGAGCAGGTTTTCAGGTGGCATGTCAGTGATGCAGCTTGTATCACAGCACATGCCCAAAGGGGTGGACATGCCCATAAATGAGATGGAGTCTGCCAGACAAGAAGCATGTCAGCCTGGCATAAATGTATGCCAGGCTGCTGATTAGCTCCCAAAGGGTCACACCATGCATCTAAAGGGCTATGACCATAATGCACTTGGTACAGATGATCTAATGATGTGCTTGCACTATGCTTGCTGAGGACAGTTCCCTTATGGAATGGCAGGGAACTCCGTTAAGGAAGGCAGGACTGGATCTGGAATCCGGACTGTCCAGTTGAACCCGTGACACTTAGCTGTTATGCCTGGATTAATGATGCATGCTCTAAATGTATTCTACATACTTCCCAGCATTGGGAAATATTAATTTGGACCAGGTGAATATGTGTGATTTTACTTATCATTTGGCACTAGTCAGAGCAAATTGTAAAAACAGATTTGGATGAAAATCTCAAAATAACCTATCACTCAAATAAAGTAAACAAATTATCTCAGGTTTTCATGAATTAGTTGGGTTAAAATAGCCCTGTGTCGGGTAGCGGGGCTTAACCTCGAGACTGAGCAGATGCCATATTCTGCAGCTCCGGTGGCGCCCAACTTAATCTAGCTAAAATCTCGATCTACCCTACCAATCAAGCAGAAACAACCTGGGTATCCACCTCCTGACAAATGGCAACACTGATTTATGCTGTTCAGAAAGGATCAAAGCGGAGACCTGTGGCTTACCAACCTTCTGCAGACCTCAGACTGCAACAGTTACTGGGCCTCCATCAATACTGAATGCTCCGAATCGGAAACCATGCGCTTACACTACGTCTGCTGACTCGCCCACCACTATAGGGAGATCACAGAGACCCCACCAAGCCCTCCAAACAACTCAAGAGATATTGGGACTCTGCTCCAACGGAAGGCCCAGTCCAAAAAGGCAGCTCAAAATGAAAGCACGTCCCCTGCTGAAATACAGAACCTCTTGCAGAATGATCCTCCCTGACAACCTTTAACACAAGTACCATAACCACTAGTTACATGCAATGTGGATGTAGCAACTCTGGGCACCAAACAAGACATTGCAAATCTGCTCACAGATATTAAAAAAACTACTAGCAACTAATGTGGATCTAGTTAGGGCTGAGATGCAGATGAATACAGATAGAGTCTGTGTATCAAAGGAAGATATCCTAGATGTAAGACGAGATGTGTCTGTCATGAAGGACTCTGTCCAGTCTATTCAGACTGCCCATCACACATTCTCCCCACACCTGGCTATGTTAGATGACCGCACCCAATGCAACAACTTGAAGATACAGGGCATACCTGATACCTTAGCTGTTGAAGAATTCCCACACTATATAAGGCACTTAACCACATCCCTACTGCCCCCAGCTTAGGCGAAAAAACTCTCCTTTAAAGAAATCTTTTGTCTCCACCAAATCGCCCAGAGCACCACCATCTGCTATGAGGGATATTATAATCCGCTGCTCCCTTTCAAGTGACAAGACAACACTCCTGTCTGCACTCCAAAACAAGTCGCCTTACCCAAGAAGGCTCTGACCTCCCACCTTCTCTCTCAGTTTATCCTACAATGGTGGAGATCACTAAATCCACTGACAAGCCAGCTAGGAGCGGCGGGAGTGGCATATCGCTGGAGATCGCCAAGCTCCCTTTTGGTGAACTAAAATGAGAAGACACACAGATTGTCCACAGCCGAGGAATCACCCAATCTGCTCCAGACACTGGGACTACCTGTAACAATGGTGAGGTATAGATGCCAACAAGGCACTCATAGATGGAACCTAAAGTGTTCTTTATACCTGTAGACCTCTTTGGCTAGACCTAGTTGGCTACGGCTCTGCTAATTTTGACAGGTGCACAATTTTTCACCACGTATTCACCTCTTCCTCCCCCCCCCCCAACGGCCATGCCAGCAGGCTGCAAGTCACTATGGCTCCTGGGGAACTCGACTAAAAATGGGTAAAAACCCATGGAAGTGCATGATACCTGGCCCTGGAGTGTCCTAGTGCAGCTGGAGCACCTGATATCGGGTGGACCGGGTCCTGGAGAGATGCTCTGGGGCTGGAGAGACTGAGGCCTACCCGGGAGGAGAGTGGGGCGGACGGCCACTGCCTCGCTTTCCGTCCCGGCAACTACCGAGATCCACTATGAATCCGGCGTCCCAGGCCCCGCTTACCCCCCCTTTGGGCTGGTGGGGGTTATCCCGGCCTCCACCGGGCAGGCAACATCTTGGCAGTGCTCCCAAGCGACTCACCGCCATCAGCTACCATGCGGCCCTTACAAAATGGCCAACAGCGATGCACCTAACCTGTAAACCGCTGAAGAGGGCGCGCTGAGGGAGAGCTCCCACAATACAAGTCCAGAGCGATGACCACCCAAGGCATTTCAATGTAACAACGACAAGGCAGCGACAGAGACCTGCGGTTCTGCTGGCTATCAACACCACAAGCAGACCTACTCACCAGCAGAGGACCCAGCGCCTGCCTTAACTGAGCACACCTCACCGGATCTCCTCATAATCCATACCGCTGACATACCCTGTGGCAGAACACGGAAAGGTCGCCCTAAATGACTATCCCACTCCAGCGGTGCCCACATCTGGTTACTTTGACCCGCAAAGCAGTATACCCGCACTGGGTAAAAGATCACGGAGGTCCGCAGACACTTCAACCTGCAGTGGGTTCCAGGGACGCAATCAGGGCCGTCTTTAACGCGGGGCAAACGGGGCAGCTGCCCCGGGCCCAGTTTCTCTTGGGGGGCCCGAGGCACCTGCCCCGTGGGCCCCGCTGACCCCGGCGGGCAGTCTGGGCGGGTGGCCGGTCGGGCAGAAAGGCGGGCGCGCGAGGGAGCACTCACTGCTTCCTCTTCAGCTCCCTCGCGCACCGCAATGATGCCGGAGCCGGAAGATGACGTCATCTAACGGCGCCGGCATCCCTACGCGGCGCGCGAGGGAGCTGAAGAGGAAGCAGTGAGTGCTCCCTCGCGCGCCCGCCTTCCTGCCCGACCGGCCACCCGCCCAGGAGCCCAGCAGCACCACTGGACCCCAGGGAATCCACCCAGCACTCCAAAAGGTAAGGTGGCTGGGGGGATTACATTTTAAAAAACAAAAATGTGTTTGTGTGTATGTGTGTGTTAGTGTATGTGTTTGTGTTTGTGTGTGTATGTGTGTTAGTGTGTGTGTTAGTGTATGTGTGTGTTAGTGTATGTATGTGTGTGTTAGTGTGTGTGTGTGTGTGTTAGTGTATGTGTGTGTTAGTGTATGTGTGTGTGTCAGTATGTCTGTGTGTGTGTCAGTATGTCTGGTTGTGTGTCAGTATATATGTGTGTGTATATCTGTGTGTGTGTATGTGTCAGTATGTCTGTCAGTGCGTCAGTATGTCTGTTAGTGCATGTGTATGCATGTGTCAGTATATCTGTCTGTGTGCCAGTATATCTGTGTGTGTGTGTGTCAGTATATCAGTCTGTGTGTGTCAGTGTATGTGCCTGTGTGTGTGTGTCAGTATTTCTCAGTGTATGTGGGTGTCAGTATATCTGTCAGTGTGTGGGTGTCAGTATGTTGATCAGTGTATGTGTCTGTGTGTCAGTATGTCGGTATATGTGTCTGTGTGTCAGTATGTCTGTATATGTGCCTGTGTCAGTATGTCTGTCAGTACGTCTACCAGTGTATGTGTCTGTGTGTGTGTCAATATATGTACCTGTGTCAGTGTGTCTGTCAGTGTATGTGCCTGTTTATCTGTATGTAGTCAGTGTATGTATCTGTGTATCTGCTTATGCGTCAGAGTGTGTACCTGTGCATCTGAGCCGCAACTTTAAATACAAATACACCCCTC